TTCCCTACAAACTGAAACATGATGAGCCGTAACTATACAGGTTATTAGTACATCACAGCTCCATCTCCCCCTGACCCCCACCCACCGACCCCCATTAGTGGTATATTTATATTTACATCCTCTACCGTGCAGTAATTCTAGCACACCTCACCGCCCAGCCCTCCTGCATTCACAGTGTTTATGATATGCGAAATCAAATCCCTCTGGTTCTGCATGATGATAATAATCTGCAAACCCCCTCCTCTAGCAGTCATTATCCTTGGAACTCCAGAGTCTACATTAAAGTCCCATAAGGTGAAAAAAAAAAACAACAACAAAAACAAATACAGTTCAGGTTAATAAAGTCTGTTTAGCTTCTGTGATTAATTAAAATAAACTCATCAGGTATAAGACTAGAGTCACCCTCTGGACAGATAGAGAATCTAAACAAAATACACTTTTTTTTTTCTTTCTGTTTCTCATGAAACAGCTCCTATTAGTGCAGCTCCTGCTTCCAGGCCCAGCATACTTATCAGCCTTTAAGCCCTTTATCATAAATTATAAATCAAATGAGCAACAGCTAAAAAGGAAATTTACCCAAACAGATGTGATGGCCTTTCAACAGAGCCACACATACACTGCAGATACAGACTGTCACGCCTCTGCTCTGCTTCTGACTTCTATCCATTTTTGGTATTTTCTCAGGTAACATAAATTACACCCATTGTGTCTTTATGTGTTTTTTCTCTTGGGTTTGAGCAACCAACTCTACTATTAACTCTGGGCCTTCATGTTTGAAATGCTTCAGTGTACCTAACCCATGGGCAAACTAAGGCCCGGGGGGCAGGATGCAGCCCATATGGCTTTTTAATCCGGCCCGTTAGAACTAGTCCAAATTATATTTTCATTATATTATGCTGTTTTTTCCTTGCAAAAAAGGCTGATACTGCTTATACTGCTATTTCCGTGCTATTTTTTTACACTTCACCTGATATTAAAAACAAATTAATTAATTAGTATGAGCAACTTCATTTGAGCTTTAAATGCCTGTTTATAAATTGCCATCTACTGTAATGATAAACATTTAATAATAGCATAGTCTTTTCAAACAAAAAAACTTCAATCCACACAACCCATTTAAAGGCAATGTGGCAACAAAAACACTTCAATCCACACAACCCATTTAAAGGGTCTGATATTGTAGTCAAGAAAACATTATAAGAATACGAACTAAAGGTCAAAGTCATGACCAATCAGCTCAGAGTCAGTCACCAAATTAGTCAAACGTAACCCAGACTACTACTGTCAATCAAATTTCCAAATTCCTCTATTTTGCCAAGTACTACAGTGCTTTAAGAGCTATGGCTGACTGCAAGGTAGTACTACACTGCTTTAAGAGCTATGGCTGACTGCAAGATAAAATAAAATTTAAAAAAAAGAGAAAAAAAAAATCAGTCAAGACTCATGCTGACAACTTGTCACATTCCCTTAACGATTAAGAACCAGGAAATGTGTCGATGTTTAAGAGTAGCTGCTTAATGGGAGACAGACTTGAGATCAAGTGAGGTCCATAAAACCTTAAACATTGCAGTGAAAGTGATCACAGAGAACACGGTCTACTGCGTTTTATATGCAAATATCAAACGCAATATCATAGTATATTCTGATTTCCCTAAATTCAGATCTAGTTGCTGTTTTCGAATATATTTTTCACTGGAGTAAAGTGGCACTCATAATGAGGGGCTGTGTTGAAATGATCTGTTTGTATTCAGCCCTTTGTGTCTGGACCGATAACAACCCTGATTCGAGAGCACACAAGCTTGGTCTTTTTTTTGGTGGGAATCTTAAATACCGTAATTTCCAGACTACAAGCCGCTACTTTTTTCACATGCTTTGAACCCTGCGGCTAATTTATGGATTTTTACGGGCTAACACAGTTCATTGCACTAGCGATCAATGACTTTTCTGGTAGGCTACTGTGTGTTATGCTAGTAGTATATGTTTGTCTGTGAATGGCTGTGTGCGTATACGTACGTGGGGCGCGCAAGAGAAAGAACGTTAGAGAAGGTTGTTTACCTCTGCTGCGGACTAGCACAAAGTGAAGGGAGTTAGCCCCGGAGCTAACGTTAGCTCTGGACCTGGAGCAGATCACTAAGTCTCACCTGTGCATTCCAACTACGGTCTGGGCACCGAAGCAGGAAAGAGCTAACGTGTAACCAGCCATGGTACAGGCACTGTTCAAAAAAATGTATTCAAATAAAAGTGAAAAAAAAATCTTTCCATGTTACAACGCGGCTTTTAGAGAAGTGCAGCCTATATATGTACAATTATTTTTTTTCTATTTAAATTGAATGGGTGCGGCTTATTTTCAGGTGTGCTCAATAGTCCGGAAATTACGGTACCTTTAAAGTGTCTTTGTGTCCATCTGTTTTGCTCTTACCGGATCAGTGAACTCAGGAATGGCGACACGGTAGGTGATGGGGCTGCAGTCGCTGGTGTTGGTTACCAAAACACAAGGCAGGAACTTCGGGCCTAAGTCGTCTCCGTCCAGAACGTCCACTGTCAGAGTCGTGGTAGCTGTCCTTCTGTTGGGAGGGTATAGGGCACGATCCTGGAGATTGAGAAACCGCGTTTACCTTCAATGTTCAATTCCAATCCAACAACAGTTATCGCCAAAGGCTGCATCGCGCGACCAAAAATCCAGAATTTTGCACCTCGAATCCACATTAAAGAGATACATATTATTATCTAGTACGATGTGAAGTGTGAAGTAGTATCCCAGGCTACACAAAAGCAGCTCTGAAACGCATTCATCTACTGGCTGTTATTTGTCTTGCTGTTCCAGCAATATGCAGATAATGAACCATAATCAATCATGTCTAATTCCTATCACTATTAATCATGATTCATTGTGTAGTAATCCACCATCTACCCTGTGTTTAACTAGATCAAATATTTCATAAAAAAATCACTAGGTCAAGCTCTACATGTATTACGGTACACATACATCTTATTGATTTTGTGTACTGGATAGAAGTAGTCATTCTTTCTGTAGAATTTAAGTCAGGTCTTTCTAATGAACATACTTTCACAACCGCGCTAGAGTTGGTCTATCTAATGAACATACTTTCACAACCGCGCAAATCTGTGTCACGATTTTATATCCGGTGGCTGAGCCGATACGCAATAATGAAAAATCCCACGTCCTCTTCCATCTTTTGTCTGATTCCCTTTTTTTTTCCAGATAAGATGAAATCTTACAGAGGACAAGACTATCTTACAGGCTAAAGAACAAAGACTTTGGCCTAATCAGGCAGAAAATGAAAAGCGGAGGAGCTGAGTTGACTGATGAGGCTAAATGATGTAACGATGAACTGCGCTGCAGTACAACGGCTCCACCGTTAGACTTTCCAGCATGAACATTTACGTTTACGAAGATATCAAAATCCAATTTTTTAAAATCACGTTGCTGCCTATTAATGACGGGTTTTCCCACAAGACATCTTCAGTCTACGCGAATTTAATTTATGGCGGATTAACTGAAACCATACTCCTGGAAAATGACAAAACGCTGCGGCCTTTTGTAGGACATTTGCTCTCGAACAGCTAAAGGGTGAGAACGAGAGTGCGTTAAGCACGCCGCAGTAATTTATACTATTTTATTATTATTACTGTGATATTACAATATCTCATTACGATGTAATATATTCAGGACGTAATCTCTGACATGTTGCTTTATGAGAGCGTAGGGTGGGAAATAGCCTCCCTGAGGTAAAACTCCTGATTAAATCAGCTGGGATATAAAAAGCTCAACTGTTATCATAATTCAGTTGCATCTGAGGGCCGACTGCGTCAGAGTACCAACAGCGGGGTGGTCTATTCCGTGGACTACTCCGAGTGTAGGGTTTGGGTTTTGGTGGATTCCCATTAACACTTGTTAGCTTCGTAGATAGCTGTGGCTATATACTGTATAGCTAAATGAGTAATGGGGTTGGAACCTGCGTTGTCAACCTGAGTGTCATGATTGGCTGAAAATAGCGAGACTCCCACTGATGAATCAGACGTGTGAGTGCATTATCAGTGAAATTCAACTCAACTTGAACCCGGATTATCTCAAGTGTACAACAAAGTGTGACGTAAGGTTGATATATATACGGTTTACGGTTCACGACGCCCTCGAAATACAGCGTCTTGTGGTCACGGTGCCATCACCAATACATTTCTTAAGAAAGTCTTGTTCGATCATTATGTGGTGCTATATGTGGAAGACGGCTTTGTTTACATTTGTACGCCATACGTCGCGCTACATTTGCTTTTTTTTTTCCCCCGTTTGTGTTGTTTTGTTGGGAACTCTTCGTCCTTCGTTGTGGCTCCCAGGCAAGAGTCGGACTCTTCGATTGTGACGTTACCGCTGTATTAGCGTGGGTGAGTGACAAAGGTACTGTAATGGATAGGTACCGTATGCGACACTGACACTCAGATATGGATTGCCTGTACATTGTAGTTATTAAAATGACAGAGGCATGAAGCGTTCATGCACGAAAGAAAAAAGAAAATAACCTAGAGAGATCCTACACGGCCAGGTCTACTCTCAGTAAATGAATCATAAGAGCGATTTTTTTTTTACTTTTCCTGACAGACCCCGCCACGGTGAAAGTTATAAGGTTATCTTAGCCGTGAAGTCATTTATCCAGGATCCTTTGTTAATTCCAGAGTGTGGAGGGCATTTATGTGCTATTTAAAGGCTGCTAGTGCTATTGAATTATTACAGTAGCAGATGAAGACAGCATTGTTATCTACCCTCCCTGCTACCCTGTCTGCCTGGGTCTGTCCTTTAGCCGCTGTTGCACGTATGCAAATGTACACAAAATGTGATAGGAATCCAACAAATTACTTAAGAATATAAAGAATCTGCTCAATTAATATTAAAGATAACACCGACGTACAGTGGAACCTCGACATATTAGAGTATTTTGAGAGACGAGCTTTCGAGCAAATTTTCACATGCCGCCATTAGCCACTACTGTCTCAAAGGTAAGAACTCATAATTAAGAACACATTTTTTTCTTCTATATCACAGGAATTCTTATGTACTATAATTTTTCTGTGTGTGCGTATGTCTCTATAGCAATTAAAAACATATTTTTCCATTGTTATTAATAAGGTAGTTTTAGGGCCGGAACTGATTAATTTTTTTCTGTTATTTCTTATGGGAAAGATATGATTCGAGATCTGAGCACCTAGAGTTACGAGCTCGGTCCTGGAAGGGATTACGCTAGTATCTCGAGGTTCCACTGTATACTGATATAAACACAAAAGCATACATGATAACATAGCTCGTAGCTCGAGAATAGCTATTCTTGTTTGCTGGTTACCGATTGAACAGCTAAACATTTCAGCATTTCATAAACACAAGTGACTGCTAATAGATAACGAGCACAATTCAAATTAGTGGCTAATTAGCAATAATCCGTTTCTGCAATCTCTGGGTCAACGCTTTGTTAAACAAGGTCAAGGTCAGAGGTGAAGAAAAGTTTCCTTACATTGGCTTGGATTAATACCAGGTATCTCGTTCGCTCTTCGTAGTTCAGCCTCTCAGTCAGAAAGACGTGACCTGACTGGGTGTTCGCAATGCTCACCGTTCTGTTGGACACCTGAAACACGGTGACAGAGTTTGATAAGACACGGCCCAGAGAGAGCAACAAGTCTATCATATATTTTTAACTTGCAGACCAATCCGTCCACATACCGGGTCCACGGGGTTGTAAAGGACGCTGTACTCGATACGTCCATTAGGGCCATCGTCAATGTCTATGGCACCTTTGTCAGTGAAGTCGGTGAAAATGATCGATTCAACCGGTGTGAGCTACAGGAAATTAAAGGATGGGAAAAAAATTCATATGTAATAGCCAATACGCACAGCACCAGAGTATGGGGCAGCACACATAATCAATGGAAGAAGCTTCAGGCTTATGAGGACAGCAGAGACCCAACAGGGTGGAACTGGAAACTATTTCCTAATCTGGAGAAGCATGACTTTCATGACAGAAGACTTCAAGATCAGATAATAATAATATAATAATATATATATTATTATTATTATCAGATCTTGAAGTCTTCTGTCTTCAGAAGACTTCAAGACCACTTTATTACCGGCCTAATAAAGTGGCCAGTGAGTGTGCGTGTATATATATATATATATAGTAGTATAAAAATATATTCTTTATAAAATATATTGTATTCCGTGGGTCTTACAGTCTATCATTAATTATAAAACAACCACCCGAGTGTTTTTTCTCGTGTTAGAATAATCAAACAGTAATTAAAGGTGACACCTGGTGATAGCACACAATTAAGATTAATCGGCACCAAATTAGTGGTAATGAGTTTGAAAGCTGCTAATATGAAGCGAGTAAAACTTGTAGCTGCATTGAAAAGGAGGCTTCTTTAGTAAAACTTTAAATACAGTCCAGTTGATGTATATATATATTTGCTTTAGAATTTCAGATGATGATACTAAAAGCATTTGAAAGAAACCTCGGCTTATTTAAATTCAGTGTAAAATCAGGCCGACATGTTCCAGTTCTGTGTTTATTTTCTTTCCCTGAGCCTTAAAATACATCAAGAGTGCAGGTCACCTTCGACTATTCTTTGCCACGTGTTGTGTACAACAACATATTCATCCTTAGGTACCTTCAATTTTTATTTGAAAAAGGTACAAAGCCATCGTTAAAGATTAGCTTCATTTGTTTGTGACAAAAAATAAATAATTAAAGCATATATATACACATATATATACATACATATATACACATATACATATATACACGCATATATATATATACATATATACACATATATAAATACAAATATATATATATACACACATATATACACACACAAATATATATATATATATATACATTACAAATTATTATATATATCACAAATTAAACCAAAAACCTTACCTCACTTATGGCAACGTAGTAGCGTGACTGCTGGAATCGAGGCGTGTTATCGTTCCTGTCTCTCACAACTATCCGCACCTCGTGGGAAATGACATTACCAACCAGCAAATTGGTGCACTCCACCTCCACTACAATGGTCTTGATAAGGTTGGGAGGCTGAGAGGCAAAGAGAAAAAAAACAAAAAAAAAACATACACTTTTATCTCAGTCGGTGTCATTTTTTAATTAACTGCGGTCAAGGTTGCTTATTTACTTTACTACTTTTAAACACTTGTTGTGTTTTATATTGGAGTAAAAAATAAAAAACACCAAAGAAAACAGAAACAAAGTTTGAAAAACTAGGCAATAACAGAATATACTTTGTTGATAAATGAAAGAAATATATCCAACATTCTATTTTAACTTTCCACCGAAGCTAAACTACTAAGGGAATTTGTTCTCGCCGAGTATTCCCGAGAAAGACACTTTACCTTTCAGCATCATAATTGCCGTGTGTCACCGCTCTGTGAAATTAGATTTTAATTAAATAAAAACAAAAAAATGTACAAAAGGTTTTATTATTAAAAATCCTGTCTGACTCTTTACTCCTGTGGCAGTTTTCTTCTGTAATAATTGTTGTATTGTAATATATATTGTATTGCATTGTTTTTTACATTACACCAGGCGTGGGCAAACATTTTGAGCAGAGACAGCACGTTCGTGTGAAATAAGATTAAAGACATAAATGTCATGCATAAAGGTTAAAATGCTAAAGTGCTTTTATCATTTTCTACGCCATCTATTGGCAAAACATGGGTTTTGTATGGAAAAGGCAGAAGTGTAATGATAATGTAAATAAATTATATAATTTGGAAAAGTTTGGAGGGCCAAATTAAAAAGCTAAATCGGCAGCGTCCGGCCCCCGGGCCTTAGTTTGCCCATGCCTGCTCTACATGGAATCTAGCATTTTTTGGGGTTTTTTTTTTTTTTTGCTAAATATGTTGCTGTAGAGCAGCGGCTCCCAAAGGGAAGGTGGGGGGTGTTGTTGCACAGATTTTAATATCAAGAATGTCTTTAGTTATAGTTTTTTAATAATTAGAAAATTTGGGTTCACTTCGGATGAAGACAGGAGCTCACCATCGAAACATGTTGAGGTCAGGCCTGGGACCAAAACAAATCCATGGATCGCATGATAAATATAAATTAAGCCGATCATTTTGCCGACCACGATTAATTACCAAGTGCGTGTTTACTTAATTACGGCTGAGAGGGGGCGCTGGAATACACTCAAAGAGTGTAAAAATATACAAATAGTCTGGCCTTTGTTAAAACTTTTCTGCCAATGGCAAGATTTTTATTTTTTATTTTTACTAAAAACCCCTGTATTAAAAACAACCTTTTTTAAAATAATAACCAAACTTTTACCACAAAATTACCACCTAACATTTAAATACTATTTATAACTTTTAATAACTTGTTGTTGTTTTTTTTTTGCTTTGAAGCAGAGAAAAGCCAACGTTCTGCCGCTCAGGTAACAGACCAATTTATATAAACAAGTTATTCACAGAATAATTAAAAACGCTGTTATCTCAAAAACACATTCACCCCAACAACATCATAAAACATTTGTTTTTATTTAAAAAAATAAATGATTTATTTTATAAAATATTATTTCAATTACCATAATGAAATTAGGCATCAGGGGTACATGTTGATTACTCTATTTGGTGATATGTTTAGTTCATTTTCTTTTAAATATGTCTGACATCAGATATTGGCAGACTGGAAAAACTGTTTTCAATTTTCTTATTTAACCGCACCTCTAAACGAAGGATTAATCACAGACTCACTGAGTCTCATACTGCAGACCACCATTCCAGTCAGGTACTCACATCTCTGTCCAGAACTCGTCCAGTGCTGTTCAGGTAGAGCCTCTGTCGCACTGGTTCTAAGATCACCCAGTAGTCGTAGTTTCTTTGCAGCGTCAGTGAGATGGTTTTGTCTGGAGCTTGAGTTCTACCTTTTATCTGCATGTTTTCAACCAGGACCGTACCTGTAAAAACAAATCGGACTTTGGTGAATACAACAGAACTTGTGAGTATGTTTGAGAAATATGTTATGTAAATAAATAAATAAGTACATATGTGACACACTGATTGTAACGTCACAATCTCCTATTAGTTTCTTATGAAAGCACTGTTCCATTACTCAGCTGTATCAGGTTAATACAAATTTTGTACGAAAACTAGTTGGCGAGTGGAGTGGACGAAAAGACAATTTTGTGAAAAAATGTCCTTCAGTTTTACTAATTTATTTCATTCAAAAAGAATCCAGTCATATCCCTTTACTTTCATCATTCAAAGATAATCTGTCAATGTTTCAAAACAACAGGTCATTCAGACTCTGATACTAACAGAATAAAGCCTAAAAGATGTTTTATTTTGAAAATGTAATGATCCTTCAATGATGACGTGGTATTTCCGGTCCACAGTACCGGCCGACCGATTCTTGGTACAAAGAGGTTAGGGACCGTTGGTCTATCCAGTGTCCCAAAACTAGTATTAATTTATTGCAAATAATTTTTCGATGTTTCTCAAATAGCAATGAAATCCTCTTCCACTAGGTGGCAGCAGATGGTTATTAAAACTAAGAAAAGATTATCAGAGCTGTTGAAGAAGATCTTTGTGTCTTTCTTCAATTCCTGCCAGTATATCAGCGTTGTGTTCAACTAAACATTTTTCAGTAAATTTAAACTGGAATATTTTTATATTTCTTTACATATACTTTTTGTGAGATTTTT